AGGGAGCGACTACAAGACAGTGTTAATGGCGGTATATCTAGTTCGATGGGGCTACTGACCGGCTGCGCAGCCTGAACAAGCACGGTGTTTGGGTCACGCAGCGACTTGAGCTGGAGAGAAAGCATAAAGTTGCCTGAGGGAATGATCACGTCAGCTACCGGCTGAGAAGGGCTCTGTCTTAAGCTTGAAGCACCCATGTCATCGATGGCACCCCTCGTTGGCCTGACAAGCTCCAGCTCGACCTGTATATCGTATCGCAAGTCGTCCGCGATCTTATCCATGGGGATGGGTACCGTGACGTGGGGCGGTCGATGGGTCTTCGACCTGAACAAGTGACCCTCAGTATCATCACACGAGCAAGGCGAGATCACTCACCCATAAAACAACCACCCCTCAACCTCGATTGCGTCCCCAGTCGACCAGGACCAGAAGAAAGCTCCCACAGCCAGCACCGAGAAGATTGAAGAAGCGAGCAGGAGGAAGCCTAGGAGGATGAGCTTGAGTATAAGAGAGATGGTGAGGGGTGAGGTGATTGTCTGGTGGATGATACGAAATGGAATGGTGATTCTGGCGTTTCGTTTGTGTCAGCTGCGCATGGGTCTGAAAAGGGATCGCAGCCCAGCTCACGGGCTAAGTACGATCCTCTTGAGAGTGTTGAGGAAGTCGAGGAAATCAGGGGGGTCATCACCCCTTCGCCTTGCTCGGTGGTACTGGATCCTCGCCCGGATAGCATCGTGCGCTCTGGCGGTATCCGGGTCGACCTCTCTGTGCGCCGCCAAGGGGACCTGTAGAGGCGCCGATCGTTGGCTCATGGTGGGCGGATGATGGGTCGAGCGAGTGCCTGACACCGTAAGGATCCTACCGGACAAGTCGTGAGAGGATGTGAAAGGTGCGAGGAAGTTGTCAGCTAGTCCAGTCAACCGGTTGCAGCTTTCGCGGTGGTCGGTGCCTGAACGCGCGGTTGATGACGAAATGTCATACACGGTGGATGCCAAGAACCACGAAGGAGTATTCGGTGAACGTGGACATGTATCGAGAGGGCTATGCAAGTCACCTTACCAGTGATCCTTTCCGTCATTCGACTGTGACTGGCTCAGGATGACCTTCGCATACCCTTCTGTGTCGCTGATACCCACACCTTCCGATCTACCGCGAGATCACCACGGCCCGTTCCACAAGACCTCCAAGCCTCAGGCTGACAGGCCTCCAGAGGGCTGCGATGACAATCCCAACCACAAGCCAAAATACTTCAAGAACCCCTGGCCGTCTTACCGTCAGGCATCTCTGCACGATGCATACCTCGCTTACAAGCTAGGCGCCGCTATCGCGCTGCCACCGCATCAGACGCCAGGTGCTGCCAAGCTGCGATTGGTAGATCAGGAATTATACGACGAGGACCCTCGCGAGGAGCACGGGGCTTTGCTTGCTAGAACCGACTCGACTGTGCCGAAGAAAATGTACATTCGGCCTGATTTCGCCGAGGTGAGAGAGACGGACGATCTCAGCGATTGGAGAGAACCACCGGTCGATGTGGTGGAGCCGAATTGGGGCGATGGCGGTGATGGGAAGGAACGGGTCACCTGGCTGGGTCACGCCGGAGTGCTCGTACAGATACCATGGAAGCATGGTAGGCAAGGTACCTGTGGTATCATCTTCGATCCCATCTTCTCCTACAGGTGAGGCGGCTGTTGGTCTATTGAGCGACAACTGACGTCCCTCTAGATGTTCGCCCACGCAGTATGTCGGTCCAGCGAGATACCTCGACCCCCCCTGTTCGGTGGCAATGCTACCAGAGATTCACGCATGCTGTATCTCACATGACCATTGTTAGTCTCTTATTGATTAGCCCTGTTCACTTGGAACAGAAACAAGCTGATCAAAACCACAGACGATCATCTCGATTATTACACCATCATCGACTTGTGGAAATATCATCAGGCGACGATACACTTCTTCGTCCCGATGGGTACGTTGAGTATCCCTGCAAGTGGGATTCCAGTACTGATACAATGCTCAGGCCTGAAGCAATGGTTTACGTCCTCGGGCATCCCCGCAGCGAGAGTAACAGAGCTGGACTGGTGGCACGAGTCCCTGGTCAGCTTCCCCCTGACGCAGCGGTATACCGATGAAGAGGAGGATGAGGAGGCGACAGCTGGAGACACGGGACCGGCAGCGTATCCACCAGCTCAGGGCAGCCGCATGTCGACTGAAGCCGACTATGTCGAGCCATCCGCCTTAACGTTGAAGCTGGTCTTCACTCCTGCTCAGCACCGGTCCGGCAGGGGCGTATTCGATCACATGACCACACTATGGGGTAGCTGGTGCTTGGGCGTTGTCGAAGATGAAGATAGGAGAAAAGTCGGACAGAGGGGCATGCAGGATTGGGCCGGTTTCAAGGTCTACTTTGGCGGGTGAGTGGTGCTCATATACGGGTGGGTCAGAGCTAATGATTGGGCAGGGATACTGGCTATAGATATGCCACAGCAGAGGACGACGATGACACAGCCATATGTCCTGCGTTCCAGCGTGATTAAATAAGGTCTTCCGCCATTGATGTAGGCTGACAAGGCCGCTTGTAGAAATCGCGGATCATTACGCACCTTTCAACCTGGCACTACTGCCTCTATCAACAGGCTCCTCTTTACCCTTCCTTAGGACAGTCCTGTCCCTCTCTGTCGACCAATACACCATGACGTCCTCGCTGCACTGCTCGCCAGCCGACTCGTTGGAGATACACAAGATCATCAGGGCAGAAAGGACGGTCGGGATACACTGGGGAACATTCTGCGACGCGGACGAAGCAAGGGGTACCCGCGTGGACTTTGGAAGATGCAGGCGGGAGATGGGAGTTGGTAAAGAGTGGCAGGAAGGGGAACAGGTCGGTCACGGTCGGTTCGTGATGGGCGACATCGGGGAGACGTTCATCCTGCCTGCGAGGGGATAACACTGAATAGTGCCGTCTCAGACACCTGCGCTAGTAGCCGGAACTTCAGGACAATTGGTGTGCACATGCATAGATGGTATGATAGTCATCACGTCGAAGATACAGAAACAACAAGTTTGACGTAGCCCAATCGCGATCCCCTTCAACGACCCCTCATCATCTCCTTCTTCCTCTTCTCCTTGGCCTCCTTCCTGAGCCGCTCCTCTCGTTCAGCCAGCTCATCCTCTTTCCTGGCGATCCGAGCTGCCCGTCTCTCTTCGACCTCTACATCGCTCAATCCAGCTTCCATGTCACTCGAACCATCAGACATTTCATCCACGTAGCGAGCCGCAGGTCGCCCCGGTCGCCTGAACATTGCCTGGATCTCAGCCGACACATCGAACTGGGACGATCGATTGTTGAGCCTGGACGGCGGGGAATTTCTGTACGGGTCGTAACGCCGTTTCGGCGGTGGCGATGAAGCGGACGACTCGGACGAGGTTGAAGGGCGGCGTTTGCGCGGGGTCCCGGACGCGGCTGGGCGGGGTCGGATATCTTGATCCCGCCTAGAAGGTACTTTACCCGACGCCAACGGTCGTGCGTCCTTATCTGGCGACCGTCTCTTCTGCGGGCTGGCCTTGTCTCTCGCCCTTTCCTCGGGCCGTCCGGATTCCGCGATACCGCCTCGCTTCGCCTTGATGTCCCTCTGTATCTCCTCGATGCTCCTACGATCCCTCGTCGCCCGATCAGGACACAACTTTCGCAGATTCTCAGAGGAGAACTGCGCCTTCAGCTGATCCCGAACACTCCCTTTGCCCTTGCCGTTGGTGGGTGGCAGCTTTGTCTCCCGTTTCAGCCCGTTGGCCATACCGATCCCATGGATGGCTATCCCGCTCTTGTCGAGGATAGCCGACCGGCTAGAAACCTTTGATGGACCAGGGGCTGGCAGATGCGGATCTCTAGATTCGACGAGCGCTCGCACGGAAAACAAGCTGTCCCCAGCTGATCTCTTGGCCTGTTGAGCAAACGCCTTTGCTGCGCGTTCTTTCCGTCCAAGGGGTATCTCCAAGTCCTTATCCTTGCTCTTGGTCGAGGACGATGCTTTGGCACTGGGTCCTGGGTGGGACTGCTTGGATGAAGCTATTCGCACAGCGCCATTGCTCGCGGGAGCGCGCAGCGTAGTTTGTTTACTGAGGGTCTGTACGGGCTGAGTCCGGTGGTCAGCGAGTCTGTCTATCTTCCGCACGCGGCCTTGCCTCACCTTGACCACAGTCTTCGGCCTTTCGTCCTCGGCAAATGGGTCATAGTCCAAAGGCCCTTTCTTCTGCTCCCCACCGGCCTTATTATTCAACGCCTCGTTCGCTCGCATCAACTCGAGTCGGCGAGCCTCCTTAGCAGCTGCTTCTTGACGCTTGCGACGCTACGCAATGGTCAGAACTCCGTTGGAAGCCAAAGCAGCGGGGTTTGCTTACATCCTCTTCTTCCCGGGCCAGCTGCTTGTCCCGAGCGGCCTTAGCAGCCAGTTCTCGCCTCACCTCCTCCTCTTTCTCCCGCTGAAGCTCAAGCGCACGGGCTTTGCGCGCTTGGTACTGGCGAGATAAGTTAGCAAAGTAGGTCTGGACGCTGATACAAGGCGATACACACCTCAGACATGGTGACGCGGAATATAAGTTCACAGGGCGGATCTGTCCAAGGGGTGTCGCGCAAATCATGCGCAGCGGGCGCCCTCTACAAGAACATGAGTTGTATCCAGTTGAGACCGACGGTGCGTTGAATAAGAGGTAGAGCGTCGAAGAAGGTGGGTCCGGAGTGAATGGAGGAGACAAAAGGTCAATTGAAGACCGTTGATCCATTACCGGGTCGAGCTGAGCCGCGTGGCACCCGGCTTTCGGCGCCTGGCCAATTCAGACATCGCCTTGGCGACGCGGAAACGCATGTATGCGCGCACAGTGTCCGACGGTCGTCCTATGCAGCCGCGTTGACTACAGCCTCTGTGGACTCCATGCAGTAGTACCCAACAGACAGCAATGCTACGTGGATAACGATCAACGGGTCCAGGAGGTCCAAAGCAAAAAGCTGCCTGAACCGCGATTTGAACACGGGACCCTTGCATTCCTTGACTACGTCGTACAAGTGCAAAATTATAACCACTAAACTATCCAGGCCAATGCAATTTTCGAAAGCAATTGTGACCTACATATAGCCTTTGAGATATATCGCCATGCCAGGGGATGGACCAACGCGCGCTCAGGCTTGACTCGGTTACAGATGCAAACGAAGTCGCCCATGTGAAAAGCTGGGCTGGGTTAGCAGTGACCATCGTTTTGATAGTCACCACAGTGCAATACAAAGCGTTGGAGGTTCAGCGGTGCAATGGGCAGGGCGTCGGCGCGGTGATCAATGCTGTGGGGTCAGGGGGACGCGTGCAGTCTGCTGAATGGGCCGCTGCGTCCATTTGACGCGTCACGTCCGCACGCCGCGTTGATGATTTGGCACGGCATAGCTTCCTCACTGTATGGGGGCTGAGCGTTGTCGACGTTGTGGTCGTGTTCCGCCACCGTCAGAATACTAACGGCTGCTTCATGTCTAGCTTGCCTTGTCTCGATGGACACGGCGTCGGAGTATCGAGATATCGTCGGACACCGCATGGAACGAAAGCCTGATCGTACAAGAGACGAGGTCTGAGGCTTCGAGGGCGATCATGATCGACGCTGAGGGGACCCCGCAATCCGGACGCGTCGGAGCTCTGTGTTTTCTTTTTGTTTCAGCTCTCAAGGGGATCCAAGATGCGTTTGGTGTTCGATCGTTACCTGTCACGCCATAGTCCTTTGCCGTCCTTCCGATCTCAAGCAGCTTTCATACCATCAGCACATCGTCACAGCTGCCGACGACGTGGCCATGTCGCTCGGAGTATCGCCCAATGGGGCATCACCTTCCATCGCACACGCGCGACCGTTACCTCCGAACCGAAAGCGAAACTCGTACACGCCTTCGCCCCGAGCGACCCCTCAGCTCAGCAGCAGCGATATCATGACGGCTGGTAGAGCAGGAAGTCCTGTGGGATCATCGTCTGCCCAGATAACGAGAGATTCGGGTGGTGTCATGGGAGGACTCCGGGAACAGAGCGAGGAGGAGTTGAGTAGAGCCACGCGAGAGAACGTGGAAGAAGCGCTAAGAAAGGAGTGGAAGGGCCGTGAGAGGGTGAGCATATATCGTACGCATGTTTACATCTGGCTCAATCGCACTTGTTCTGGCCTTCTAGTTGATGTTGCAGCTGGAAGAAGCGGACAACGACAGGAGACTGCTTGAGATCAAACATGACGAGATGGTCAAGGCGATGTTGGGGGTACAGGTACGGATGGACGAAGCGTTTCAAGAACAGGTTCGTGTCCCGTCGCCTGTCAGCTCGATGACTAGAGGCTGACCGTCTGATAGAGTCGCATGGAAGCCGACTTGGAGGAACGCGATGATCTTTTGGAGCGTTTACGGAAGAAGATTGGCTTGGTAGAGCAGCAAGTCAGAGATGGTCATAAGAAGTATCAGGAGCAGGCAAGTACATGAAGATAGGGTGGTATAGGATCTCTTGACTGACACACACACTGGCGAGCAGGAGAAGTCGTTCGACCAAGAGCGGCAGGCTCTTCAAGCACAAGAGCGACATCTGCAGCAACGGCTCAAAGGGATCACCGCAATCAGGCAGTCTGCGTCCACATCTGAAGCTGAGGACTTGGCATCGGTCAAGGATGAGCTTGCCTCTGCAAATTTGTCGATTTCCAGCCTTGCCGCCAAGCTAAACACCGTGACTAAGGAGCTACAAGAGCTGAAGGCCGTCAATCGTGAGCTGGTGGAAGAGAACGAAGGGTGGGAGTTCCTCGTTCGAGAGAGGACGCTTAGCGGCAATGTCAAGCCTGCGAGCATCCTTGGACCGAAAGCGGCTTTCGGTTCAGATGAGGGCGATCTCGACGATGGTCCGACTGAGAGCGCTAGCTTCAGGCCGCCCCAGGACGATCTGGAAGCGGAGATGGATGAGTTGCATTCCGATCTAGAAGCGCAATCTCCCATCTTTGACGACAACGCTTCATACTTTTCTCCTGAACGCGATGGATCAGAGGCGACACCGGATGGCCTGCTGGCTCCTCCTCGAAGCCGAAGAAGGGGAAGAAGCCAACGCTCTGCGAGTGCAAGCAGCGTGGCCCAAGCGACTAGGAGCGGGCTTGATCTGGCGGCCGAGATGGGCATGTCCGAGCCAGCGGACCGAGGGCTGGTCCAGGATCAAGGTGGTATGTTCATCAACAGTAAAGTCTCTAGCCCCGCTCATCCGAGTTTAGCGCTCGAGCTCGAAATGAAACAGCTCAAGGAAGCGAACAAGGCTCTCACCTTGTACTGTTCAAAGGTGATACGCCTGTGTGGCTGTAGGCGACAATGTCTGACTAGATATTTGCAGATTATCGATCGCATCATCGCTCAGGAAGGCTTCGAGCATATTCTGTCCGTAGACTACAAGACACGCCGAGGAGGTTCTTCGAGAAACGTCTCGGCCGCGTCTCGCACGGCCCTCAAGGACATCTCCTCTGGCCAATGGGGGCCAAAGACGGACTCGCCTGTTGATGGTGAGCCGCCCAGTATCATCGAACCGCAGCCTGTCAAGGAGAGGAAGGCAAGACCGCTCAGCATGATGGTACGGGCTATGACGGGTCCCGCCACGCCTATGCAGGCTGCACCCGAACCAACGGAAGCTGAGGCGGAAACGGAGGCCGCCAAGGAAGCTAAGGCTGAAAAGAGGGTGCGTCCGTGATGACGGAGGAGCGATCCACCATGCTGACAGCATATGGAACAGGCGAAGAGGGGTTTCTCGCTCGACTTCCGTTCGCTTGGCTTTGGAGCCGCTCCGTCCGAACCCAAGTCTGGTCTGAAACCCCTCACCCTGTCGAGACGAGCCTCACCCTCTGCATCGACGCCTCCTACCGTCCCGACACCTCTGCAGGTGGATCTCACCGCTCGCAAACTGGACATCCACGATGAGGATGAGGAGGACAGGAAGGAGAGGCACCGCATGGAGGCAGCTCTCAAACTCATGGGGATCGAGCGGACTGGCACACCGCCAATCATGGAGGAAGACGAATTCTCGATAGACGACAAGACTTGGCCAGGCAGATCCGGTGGCTCTCTAGGCAGTAATGACAACAAGAGGACGACATCAGCGAGTTCGAAGCCTACATCAAGGTGGTCCTCCTTCTTTGGCTCGCGAGAAGCATCGCCCGCACTACCCAGCGACTCCGAGATCTTGGGGTCTATCATTACCGAGGATGAAGAGCCCGCACAAAGGGGGAATGAACACACTAGGGGCATGAGCAAGTCTGAGAGTATCAAGACGTTGTGGAGCATGGGCGGAGATAGCAGGCCTGCCAGTGGCGAGGTAATAATCCAGAAGAAAGAGTAGGATGCGCCTTGTATTGCGCCCATGATTTCGCCACGCTATAGACGAGCACGAACACTAGACGAACGACACTCCAAGGTGTCAGACACGAACGGACGTCATGACATGCAGGATATGATATAGTTGATATGGAGCATTCGTTGTGACTGGACCCGACAGATGTGACAGGTTAGACAGCTCGGAACCGTTGATAGAAGCTCTTGCACTTGAGCTCCATCGTCTCTTGATACGTTTCTGGCAGCGTATCGACGAGACGACCTGTATCGGACATGGTCAGCGTGTATAGGTAGATGAAAAGGCCTCCCCGTATGGCTGACCTGGATTGCCGCCCCACACCGACATGGACGGGACGACGGTGCCTTCTGGCAACACTGTATCTGGCAAGATGACAGCTAGATCTTTGATGATGACGAATTTCCCCTGCGAGATTCATTCTTAGCACCTAGCAATGCGGCAGTGAGCCGGGAATCGCCCCACAGGCCCACTCACGATGATACAGTTTCTGCCTATCTCTACGCCGTTGCCTATCTGTGCCGCTTCCACGATACACCCCGGACCAATATGTACAAAGTCAGAGATCCGGACTGGGTAGAATGTGAATGCGCTGAGACCGTGATCCGTTAGCGACAGCCTGAACGCGAGACCCACCCTTTGTAGATCTTGCCAGGCGGTCTGACTACCGCTCCCTCGCCGATCAGACAGTATCTGCCCATGGTGATGACCACATGTTGACCGGCAGTCGACCGCCTGAGGTCGCCTCGAAGGATGGAGCCTGTCTGTACGATTGACTTTCCACCCAGTACGATATTGGTGGCCCCTGCAATCGTAGCCTTGCGGGAGACTTTGTCTGGGAAAGGGTCATCCATCAGCTTCCAATGATTGGTCGTGCCAAGTCACTCATCGCTCACTGCCAGTGTCCGTCTCTATGTATGAGCCCTTCTCATAGGTAACAATTGGGTCGAAGGCACCCATCGTGCGGCATCTCGAGGGTCTTCCGGGCTGCCTCTCGCCGTGATAGCTGTTGCGACGAAAGCAGCGAGTTGAATGAACGAATGCCGAGTGGAACGAGTGGAAAGCAACAACAAAACCGACGCGACTTTGATGAAATGACGTTCGCTGTCGACTTCAACCTTCTTTAGGCATTGCGCGCTTGTTTGATCGATCTTTGCCAGTACCTGTCATCGCTTGATAGCATGGCGTCCGCTTCCTCCAGCACGGCTCCGACGTCCACCTCGGCGCTTCTGCACGACAAGTCGTCAGAGTCGGCAACGGCAGATGACAGCGTGATGGCTCGGTTAACCAAGGACTTCCCGGATGGTGAGTGGAGAAACACATCTTGATCGGACTCACTGACCACCTTCACAGCCGGCTCCTTGAGCCAGCATCGAAAGATCCATGCCCGCCTACAGCTGGAGATCATGGACGTGCGAGAGGAGGTGGCCAGACTCAAGGTCGAGCTTCGTAGGGACCAGGATCCAGGCAAGATGTCGACAATTCAACAGCAGATCAGCGTGAGTGGTACTCATCTCATTCACAGCGAGCTGACATTGCCATAGCAATTGATGCTTCAGATCAACGTGATCCGCGAGAAAGCGTCGGAGGCGGAAGCGATAGTCAAGACGATCACTTCAGACATACAGCAGCTGGATACCGCCAAGAGCAATCTGACCGGGGCTATACAAACCCTTGAACGGTGGGGCATGCTGAGTGAGCTAAGACCTGGCTGCT